TCCTTCTCCTCCCCTCTCTTCCCCTCCCTTCCCTCTCCCCTCCCTCCCTCCCTCTTCCCTCCCTCCCCTCCCCTGCCCAACATACATTCAGAAAAGGTATACAATTCTTAGTGAGTTACCACACAGTGAACATACCCAAGTAACCACATAGTCAAATAATGGAACATTACCAACACCTTCAGAGGATTCCATATTTTCTTTTAATACATTTTTAAGGGAAGTTATGGGTTATGTTAGAGGTAGTAGTTTTATTTGAGTGTGAAGGCAAAAGTGAGAATTCAAGAAGCTAAGTAGTGAATGGGAAATACAATTGACCTTTGAACAATATGGAGGTTTAGAGCACCAACCCCTCACGCAGTTGAAAACCCATGTGTAACTTTTGATTCCCCAAAAACTTAACTAGTGGAGTTACTTCCTTTAACTTTCAGGGGTAACCTTTGACTCCAGCTATGAAAAGTTAATCTCCCCGTATACTTCACAGAGTCCTGTTGACTTAATGTAAGTATCAGAGTTCCCTGAAAAGTATAAATCACTAGAAGAGTATAAGATACTATTTCATGGCCGAAAAGAGCAGCAGTCTTCCCAAGAATGTATTCATTTTTGTTTTGCATAGGTCATTTAGATTGTATTCTTGTTATTTATAACTAGTAGCCCGGTGCACGAAATTCGTGCACTGGGTTGGGGGGGGGGGGAAGGGGCCCCTCAGTCTGGCCTTCACCCTCTCCAATCTGAGACCCCTCAGGGAATGTCCAACTACCTGTTTGTGCCCACACTTTTAACAGATAACAGCTCCATTGTTGTTCCTTTCTTATGCTTAAAACCATTGGAATTAGTAGGTATTCAAAGTGTGTATACATTTTGGGGGGACACCCTGTATATCTCTAGTCAGTGGTGAAAGAAACCAACAGCAGATTTGGAACCCCCAGACAGGGAACCTTGCTCATTCCCCACATGTCTCCCCACTTCACTTTCCACCTTCGTGGGCAGCAGGAGAATCAACATTTTCTCTCATTAATTCGGAAAAGCACGTCCTGTCACCCGCTGCCCGGCAGGAGTGAGCTAGGCCCCAAGCAAGCAAGGCTCAGTCAGGGCAGCCTTCACTCATGGGTGCTGGCACCCAAAGTGCACATTCCT